CCTCTGCCCGGCAGCTCTGCGGGACCCCAGTCGGAGCCGGCCCGAGGAGGAGGAGGATCCTAGGACCCAGGTGAGCGAGCCCCGGGAATGCTGCTGTGCATGTGCGGGAGTTGCCTCACCCCGTTCGTATCTAGGGATCTGACGTAAGTCGGATCCACGTAAGTCGGGGACTGCCTGTACTGAGATCTGTTCATTTATATTTGTCTGTTTCAAGGGTCACTACAATCTTGATGGACCAAGAGGTTTCAACCAGCAAAACCCTTCTTCTGGGAAATACATATGGCTTAGACTGCTATGGGACAGTAAAAATAAATCTTTTTATAAAAGAGAAACAAATTTACACCTTTATTATTATTTCTTTGACATTATTTTATTGTCTTTTAGTTTGAAATGTCTCTGAAGCCAAGGTAGCCATTTTTTTGCCTCATCTCAAAAATGCCACACAGGTGGGTTGATTTAAATGAATGTGAAGGACTCCATATAAATCCTTGATTTTAATCAACTTTTCCATTTGTACTTCAGTTATTTTCCCATTGGTTAATATAACCATTACATCATGTAGGTTTGCAACCAAATAGTCTTTTGCACTATATTTTGTACATCTTTTTTCTACCACAGAGGATGCACTATAATTATATACATTTATTTCATGTATTATATAGCTTACATTTTCAGATTCTAATTAATTAATAGTGTATTTTATTAAGTTATACAATGGTGAATAATATATTATTTATTTACTGGGACTGTGTCCAGACTGCGGTTTTTTTCCAAAAAAAAGTACCCAAATTGCAAGTCACAATTTGCATACCTTTTTCTGCTTCTTTTGTCGGAAGAGGCTTTTTCAGCATTTGGCCTGTCTACTCAGGGACAAATGTCAGAAAAAACTCTTTTTCAGCATATCCCTTCTTCCTTGTGAAATGAGGTTTACAGGGATGCCAAAAAAACACATCTGTTCTTCCGAAAAAAAAAATGGGAAGAGCAGACACGTTCCTTGGATGCGGCAGCGTTTTTCCAGTATCCCGGAAAAACTCTGTAGTGTAGACATATCCTGGATAATTAACTTTTTGCTCATGATTTGTGTCAAGCTGCTTTAGGATTGTTAGGACAGTAACTGGAATTTTAATTAAACGCACAAACAGCATATCAAATTAATTTTTATTCAACAAAACAAGCCCTTAATAAAGGGCAGGACCTATTGTGCCACGTTTATAAAGCTTGATTTCAAAGGACAGATATTTTCCCTCCCTTTCTTTATAGAGAAAAGCAGCCTTTAACACAAAGATCTTGACTGAGTCTTATGGATGCAGAATTATTTTTATATAAGTGTTTTAAGAGATTATAATAAAATTTGGCCTTAACATATTTTGTATTACATTCACATTTCATTTTAATTGTTTTTTAAAAGAAAACATATTGCCATTTACATAATACAATCAAAATAATCTGATTTACATTTTAAAAATCTGTTTTAAATGCACATTTTTATTCACCCTAAAGCCAATATAAGTAGATGAAAGATAGTAGCTAATTACAGAGACTTTCACATTAACTGTATTTATTGAGAAGTAACCATACAGAAATTTTGCAATTCTCTGTCCTGTGATTGATTGATAGCAGTAGCCAATCAGAGTAAAAGCTTTTCATGGGATTGAGAAATATATGTAGAGTGACTTTGGAAATCAGACTGTCATAGCCAGAGTTCAGGGAACTGAATAAATACAGCAAGCCAGGATTAGAGAATTACACATGTGAAATAGAAATATTTCGTATGAAACAATATAATTACAAAATAACGTATTATTAATTTTTGTCTTGGGGAATAAATGAACACTGTCAATTAACAAATCAATTTTTGTTTAAAGATATACTCTGAGAACTTTCATTGTCAATATACCAAATGATGCATCCATGCTGCCAACCGACCACTTGTCTCTTAATTGTATAGACTCTCTTACTAATCATATTGAAACCTACTCAAATGCCCATTAATTCACTCCCAGAAACATCCAATTTTATACTCTGACAAAATCAAACACCGTTGTCTTAGACAAAGAAAAATAAATAATAACAAAATAATCTTCCTAATTATTCTGGGTATCTGAAAAGTGTTCCTGAAATGAAAACCACAGGCCTATCCTTAGTAAACAACATTAAATTGGCATTCTGTTTTGTCCCTAGAACTAAGCATGATAAAAAAGGGAGAAAGTAAGACATGGACATACTGCCATCTGCTCCCTCTAGTTCATTCACACTTTTAAAAACACGTGTGCAGAAAAGGAAATCACTCACAGAATTACAATGGTAATAATGTCATCATTCTCCATCTAACATGGCTCAATGGTCATATAACACATCCCATCATAAGAGGCTAATAGCAATCCAAGGATTCAACCTGAGCTGCATTAAGTGGCTTCTGAATTTGTAATATTAACATCCTGGTTTCATTTTTCACCTGTTTATATGGGTTGAGAAGGGAGCTTAGATATGATCGTGGTGAGCATTCCAGAATTATATGGAAACAAATGAGGGCCAGGCCTGGAGTAGTAAGAAGAAGCTAGAGTGACAGAGTTTAAGATCAGAAGGGAATACCAGATTATTTAGTCTGACCTGTGGCGTATCACAGGTTCGCACTGCCACCCAGCATGGGCACACTAAACCTGACAACCCAAAATTAGGCCAAAGTATTATATAAAAGAGGCTGTGCGCTTGACATTCCCCCCAGCTTAGCTGGCTTGCTAGGGCCAGCACAGCTGGCCTGCTAGGGAGGATAGTTCTTACTACAGGCAGTCCCCGGGTTACGTACAAGATAGGGACTGTAGGTTTGTTCTTAAGTTGAATCTGTATGTAAGTCGGAACTGGCGTCCAGATTCAGCCGCTGCTGAAACTGACCGCCAGTTAGACGGGGGGGCAAAGCAGAGCCAAGCCGCGGAGCGCGTGGGCAGCGGATAACCCTGTCCGCTGCCCGCGTGTTCCACCGCTTTGCTTCCTCTCCGTGGTCTGCTGGAGACCAGGGAGAGGAAGGGCCCCGTTCGTAACTGCGGGGACTGCCTGTATAAGCAGTAATAAGAAGAGATCTTTAAAAATGTTAGGAGCATGAGGAAGACATCAGAAAGTGTTAGTCTGCTTAGTGAGGAAGAAGATCTGATGACATCAAGAAGGTCTGGGAGGTTTAATGCCTATTATGCTTCAGGTTTCATTAAAAAGATTAATGGTGACCAGATATTTAATACAATTATTCACAACACGAGGGAAGAACCCAAGACAAAATAGGAAAATAACAGATTAAAGAATATTGTGATAAATTAGGTAGATTCAAGTTAGTAGTACCTGATGAAATTCATCCTGGTTACATAAGATATTAACTGAAGCAAACTTGCAAACTTGGAACCATTAGTAATTATCTTCGAGAACCCTGGAGGCCCCAGAGGACTGAAGAAGACCTGACTTTTAAAAAGAGAATAAAGAATATGTGGGAAATTACAGATCAGTCATCCTAACTTCAATACATGGAAAGGTACCAGAACAATTTATTGAACAGTCATTTTGCAAGTGCCTAGAGGATAACAGAGTAATGAGGAACAGCCAGCATGGATTTGTGAAGAACAAATCATGCAAACTGAGCTTAAGTTTCTTCTTTGACAGGGTTACTGGCCTTGTGAATAGAAAGGAAGAAGCAGACCCGTTAGCCCCAGTCTACAGTAGGGAATTCTTTCAAAATAAGTTCCGCGCCTCTGAGGCTTTGCCAGAGCAAAGCCTCAGAGGCGCGAGACCCCTCCGCCTCCCCGGCTTTGCTCCAGGTGTCCCTGGGCTGCTGGAGATGGTCCCCAGCAGACCAGGGGCACCCGGAGCAGCTTTTCTCACCCCGGAGGTCGAGGTGGCGGGACCGCTGCGCTCTGGGCGGTCCCGCTGCCTGCGAGCTCCGGGGCGGGAAAGCCCCGTTCGTAAGTGCGGATCCAACATAAGTCGGATCCGCGTAACTCGGGGACTGCCTGTACTCTTAAAGACCATTCTCAAGTTATGGTCCCCAGCAGACCAGGGGCACCCGGAGCAGCTTTTCTCACCCCGGAGGTCGAGGTGGCGGGACCGCTGCGCTCTGGGCGGTCCCGCTGCCTGCGAGCTCCGGGGCGGGAAAGCCCCGTTCGTAAGTGCGGATCCAACATAAGTCGGATCCGCGTAACTCGGGGACTGCCTGTACTCTTAAAGACCATTCTCAAGTTATTTCCCCACTGGAGCAAGGGATGAGCTGAGTAGGTGCTTCTCACCACGGCAACTAAGATCTATTTCTCAGGGGCTGAGGTCATTTAATTAGTCAGAGCCACAAGGTTAAAATGTCACATGCATGTTACACATACTGAGCAAGGGCAGTAAACAGTGAGACAATTTCAACCTGAGAAGTGACACAATTAGACAGCGAATGAGCTCACCCCTCTTTTGTAACACTGCTTCTCCCAGAGGAATTAATATGATCCTCCAAACCAAGCTCTCTTGCCATCGAGATAATGGACATAGGCTAAATAGTACAGAACACATTTCCATAGGGACTTCACTTCAGGGATCTAAATTTGGGCTCTGCAGTCCAGCGTCTGCATGCCCAAAATGTGCATTGCACATAGAAGCTGGGTAGACTCTACCCAATTTACACACTCACAAGTGTGGGTTTGGCAGATATAAATTTAGCCAACTATGGCTGTGTCCAGACTCAGGGGTTTTTTCGAAAAAAGTAGCCTTTTTTCGAAAAAACTTCCCCTGCGTCCAGACTCAAGCCGCGTTCTTTCGAAATTAATTCGAAAGAACGCGGCTTTTCTTTCGATGGCGGTAAACCTCATTTCACGAGGAAGAACGCCTTCTTTCGAAAGTTCCTCTTTCGAAAGAAGGCGTTCTTCAATGTAAATAGGGCTTCTTCAAAAGAGAGCATCCAGACTCACTGGATGCTTTCTTTCGAAAAAGCAAGCCGCTTTTTCGAAATTTCTCCGTGCAGTCTAGACGCTCTCTTTCGAAAGAGGCTCTTTCGAAAGATGCTTTCGAAAGAGCCTCTTTCGAAAGAAGCCTGCAGTCTAGACATAGCCTATGTGTAAGATGTGACCCTATGTTCAACTTTATACGTTTGGCAGTAATAATAAGCACCACTACTCCTTTAGAAGGGCTTTCCCGCACAAGGCCAGCCTTTGAGCTTTGTGCCTTTGACTTCAACAGACGTAAAACCAGGTCCAAAAATTCTGAAATATTTTAGAACCAGGGTGTCCAACACGCTAGTCACTAGCCACATGTGGCTAATTGGATGGTTGAGTGTGGCTAGTTGACTTGAACAATGTGGCTATTTGGCCGGTGGAGTGTGGCTAGTTTGCTATAGCAGTAGTGGCTACTGCTTCAGAACTGGTTGGACACCGCAGTTATAGAGAATCTAAAGAGTTAAGTCTGACATCTGAGAGGGAAGTAGTATAATTCCTTTTTTAGAAATGGGGATGGGGAGGCACTGAGAAACATGCTCTGGGACTTTCCAAGGAAACTAAGGGAGGTAGCACTGAGCTCCCATTGATTCAGTGCAATTTGGGCACCCACCTGCATTCAGCTCCTTTGAAATGGCCTATCCTAAGCAGGACATTCACAAAGCAAGTCACAGGAGTGGAACCCCGGTATTCTGAATTCCACTTTGTGTCACAGCCTCCTCCAGTTTATAATATAACTACATCTTACACCTACATGTTGTCAGTGGCATTTTTATTCCATATCATGGTGTTAGTGATGTTTTTAAACTTTACAAAGCCTGTTGGGACTAAGGACGCTTCTACATACCCAGGCAATTGTGGTACTAAGAGGTACATAATTTCTATATGGAGCATTACTTCTGGAAGGCTGACATTTATTGTTGAGCATATACGTAGCCTTAGAAGGCATTGGAAGGTTAAATGCATCAGTGACTGTAAGGGGCTCAGATACAACGGCAATGAAGGCCAAATAAGCCATTAGTGGAACAACCAAGGGCTTATGTAGGTTCCTGGGTCTCCGTGCGCTAATAGGGGAAGGAATGGGGAGCCAAGGGCAGATTCAGAGTCCGTTAGGCCCTCACGAAGGAGAAAGACTATAGGAGCCCTGCTGCTTAGGTGTGCTCCGAAGACCGCCAGTGTGCCTGCTCATGCGAGAGGCAGGGCAGTGTCTGAGAGAAAGGAGGGGGTGGAGTCAAATGATTGACAAGTAAAAGCCTGAGAAGAAGAGCTAGCTTGACCAATAGGAAGTGACAAGATGCCCACCCTGGGAGCATTGAGGACTTACTGCAGGTGAGCTCATGAGCTTCAGGGTGCAGACAGGGATCCCCCTGAGAACTGGCCTCCGGGTACCCGGAAGAAATAGTCCTACACTTGGTCCTTTCCCTCTTCAAAGCAAATCCCAGTTTAAAGAATTTGTGGGCAGGAACTCCCCACCCAGCCAGACTGAGTTAGTGCTTCAGCTCCTCAGATACCTCTAGCTGCTAGCAGGGCTGATGTACTGCTGTGAGTCATGGACTGCTTTGGGAGCCAAGGGAGCCTAATCCTCTGCAACGCTCGCACCACTGGGGGAGAGGATGTGTGGTGGATTACTGCGTGGGCCCATGGGGCCTCAGTCAATCTGGGGTGCCTGGAAAAATCTCTGCTCCCCATGGCCTTGGGGTTGGAGGGGCTGTCACTCCCTGCCATGGAGCTTTACCATTCTCAGGGCCACAGAAGGGACTGG